CATGTTTTTCCTCAGCGGCGGGCCCAGGGGGCTGTTGTGTCCTCTGGAGTCCCTGGAGCAGCCTCTTCACATCCAGACGGATCCCCAGAGAGCTTTCTTCGCAGTGTTGTCCCCATCTCAGCTGAGCATCTGGTACTGCAGAGTGAGTATCCGTCCTCCTGTTAGCCCTCAAACCCTGCTCGCCCGGCTGAAAAGCTGTCTCATCTGTAAAATGTTCCTTTTCGTTCCTGTCCCAGAAAGGGTTGTAAAATTTGGGACTAAAGCTTACAGAACACTTCATTATTTGGGAGTCAGAGCGGTTAAGCCACGATGTTTACTGATTGCAACGAAGTGTTAAGAAAATATGTAAGATCAATCTGTTTGGAGTTAACACCTGTTATTCCTGAAAATGAGGCTTCTAACCAACTTTTTTTTTTTTTTTTACTTTGACGTTAAATAGCGCTTTGACTTTAAATAGCACTTAAGCTTAATACAAAGAGTGTTTGTAGCAATGCTTTTTTTGCAAATATGCTTCATGTCTGCATGTGTTCTGTGTTGTATATAAAAGAACGTATGAATGTAGGAGATATGAAACACATTTTTTATAAAACACAGAACAGACTATAACATTCTGTGTAATGATATAACTCAGAAGGTCACAAACTTTTCTTTTCATGAAAAGTTTAAAAGTTTTGCGGCCCCGAACAGAAGAATTGGTATGGCTTTTGCATGGAAGTTGCTGCTCTAGCAACATCCGGTTTGAGACTACATGAATAATTGACATTGAATGCCTTGCTTTTAATTCACTTTGAATTAGCATGGTAACAAAAATGCTGTTTGTCAGTTTGATTTGATGCAGTCAATGAAACAGCTTTGATATTGACTTTAAATTCTGATACGGGATCCTTTTAGATTAGATTAGACCCTGAATCTGTCTCTAAATATTTCCAACTCCAGATAATTTATAGACTTCATCTTGGATTACAGGAGAAAAGTAACAATCCAGTTTTAGAAAGCTGATACTGAAAGGTATCGAATGGTAGTTATAGCCTTAAAATCTTGTTTTAAGTTACGCAGAGATTTCGTCATTTTACCTTGTGTTGCACTCTGTGTGGCTGTTTGTTAGTTCCTGGGTGGGGTGCTGATGCTGTTTTTTTAACCTATGTAAGCATCCAACGAGGACATACCAACCCAGTAACTATGCTGTGTGCACATCACGTGGCCTCTGTTTTCTTAGATTTGTGGCACCTAGTGTAGATAAAAATGTACACTCTTTTGGCTTTTGCCAGTTGTTAAACCTATAGTTGTAGTCTGTCAACAGTGCACAACTGATGTTCTTTTCCAGGAAAATACATAAAAAAGAACAGGCTTGTAGAATGCTTCTCAAGATGTGCCCTGTTGTCTAGCATGTAGTTTACTTTATGGTCTATTCCTGAAGATGATGTTCATTAACTTACATGCTTGGACTTGTTTTGAAATGTTAGATGTTGTATAACTGGCTACAGGCAGAGCACTAAAAGAATTCACTCGAAGCAGAAAAGTTGAGCAAACTTACAGGTCATTAACTTTTTTTAAATACATTTTTATTCAGTATGTAATAGGTGCTTTTGAGGAAGGTGCTGACTTCGCTAGGCTTGATCACTGACTGATCTTAGACTAAAAAGTACGTTACAATCTCACCACCTCTGAGGACGTCCGGCCATTAGCAAGATCCTGTAAGACACAGGTTTCTGTTAAGGACATTTTTTAAGAGAAACTCTTGCATTATTTTTGTGCATATAGCTGGGGTTTTGAGTGAGGTTTTTTGTTTTCTTGGTTTTTGGTTTTGGCTTGGTTTTGAAGATGAAGCTTAAAATCATATGTTGGACTTTCATAAAACAAACTAAAATTTTTGTATTCTAGAAAATGTTTTCATTTGTCAGAAGTATCTTCTTTCGAACAAGGCTAAGTTCTGGTCAGGTTGAACTAATTCAATTTCTTGAAGTAGAAAAGTCTTCAGGCTAATGTTCTTGTTAAGACTTAATACTATCTCAACTATATATGAAAGATTTCCTGTAAGAATGAGGTGATGAGGCTGGTGAAGTTCTGTTTTGAATTTTTCAAGAACAGAGGGCCCTTTGAAATACTTCCAGGCGTGTGAATTTACATTCAGTATGTGTATTTTTCAAGTGAGGTGGTAATGTTTAAAGCTCTTTTTCACCTACTGTGCACTAAGAACTAATGGAACTAAGGAAAGTTTATCCCGAAGTGTGGATTGTTTTCTGGTTTGGAAACAATATAGGTGTTAAGATTAGAAACTAGGATAAATTGTGTAGGTAAAACCAGATGGAATTCTGTTAGTGTCTTTGAGCCAAGAAGTCCTTGACTATTTTATATGTTATTTTGCAGGGAGAGAGAGATTGGATTGTGGATAGAAAAGACCACCTATCAGTGGTGAACATTTTTGATCATGCACCAGTATTGGTGAAAGATTTTTGAGCATGCACCCCCAATATGTGTACATTTATTTATTTATGAATTACATGCATATGCTACTGTACTAGTATGCACATTATCAAGCATACACAACATAAAAATTAAAAAAATAAAGTAGAACAGAATAGAGTAGTTCAGTTGTAAGGGACCTACAACAATCATCTAGTCCAACTGTCTGACCACTTCAGTGCTGACTAAAAGTTAAAGCATGTTATTAAGGGCATTGTCCAAATGCCTCTTAAACACTGACAGGCTTGGGGCATCGACCACCTCTCTAGGAAGCCTGTTCCAGGGTTTGGGGAAAAAAAAACCTGAATGCAGTAAAGCCGAAATAAATACATTTTAAAATTTTTACTTTATTTTATTTATTAATGGTACAAAAAATATTTTCTTCCTGGACCCCAGTGGATTGTATTAAATGCATTCCACTTTGGAGACTGCTGTTCCAAGTATTTTTCTTAAATCAGAAGAAATTTTTGGCCTTGGTACCTCAGAAGATTCCTTGGCACTAAGAGGCAATGAAACTGTTTTAATTGACAGCATTGTCAATGCTTTCATTCTGGTAATGTTAAGTACTTGGATGCTTGAAATGAGAAACTTCAATTCATGAAAGAAACTTTCCGAAATGCTAAAATGAGGTAATAGATGTTTAATAGATTGAGTTGGGAACTAAAGGTGAGGTTTCACGAGGCAGCTGTGCAGTCCTAAGTGTCGTGATCTTTCCTGCTTGCACCTATATTTTAGTGGCTCTTACGGTGGACTAGTGATGGCTTTTACAGAGTTGTTCAGCTTGCTGAACAAAGAGAAGCCTGTGTTTTTCACCTCATGAAGGGATCAAAGGAGCATTGTAGTTGGCTCGCTGAAAGTGTTACGCCTTTAACAGTAGTTGCTTTTAAATTGGTTTGGTTATCTCATGAAATAAGAGCTTTAGGTAGTACAGGGAATTCTAGATATTCACCCACAGGGCTCTAGATATTAAGGGAAGGTGTACGCAACCGGGGAAGGAGGCATGATAGATGAGCGGAGTTTCCCCTGTAAGTGTTGAAGAGTGAATTGTGTGCAACAAGAATAGTCTGATGACGTAGTTGTATGTATAAATATAGTTCAGCATTTCCTTTCTTTAATCATAACAAACTTGTGGCAATGACAGGAATAAGTACTGGCCTTGAATATTTAATGAAAACTCCTGGAGGCTGTTGGACTATCTGCTATGACTCTGCCAGTCAAAACCAGTTTTGTAAGCTCTTTGACGCCAAGAGTAGCTTGCCCCAGCTACTCATTTTGAGGAGCATTTCTTAATTACCTAGGTGGTTATGATTTACACCTACCATCTACGTAAATCTGAGATGTCTTTCAGGGGTCATCTATTTTATATTAATGCAGGAGACACCAAAAACCTGGTAAGGCTCACTGAATATTCACATGACAATTTTACATTTCATGTGATAATCCATCAGTCTAACAGGCATTTCTCATTTCTTTAATTTACATCTACCCTTGTTTTTAAACTTCCCTGTTTTTTGTGATGATCTGACCCAAATGAACTATAAGCTTATGGGAAAGCATGCATGTCAGAATTCTAGATTGTCAAATAATCTGTACTCATTCTAAATGCTGAATAAGTCTATATTCAGGCAGCTCTCATAACTCACTCGTATGTACTTTTCAATCTCACGCTGTTGCAGTATTAGAGTTGAACTTGATATGTGCTTTAAATCTAAGTATACATGTTATTTAAACAAATAGGACAAAACAGGGGATTGTGCTTCTGTTAGAGAAGTGATCTCTGTGACCTGGAATTTTGGCACACTAAAAAAGGAGTTACTTGTGACACCAGTGCTTATAGTTCACACAATATATGAATAAATATATTAAAAAATACACAGTTGTTTTGGTACTCTTTCTTATTACAGATGGCCATTGAAAGAAAAAAAAATAAGTTTTCATTGTGCTTTCAGGATTATGCTTTCATCTCAGAACTGTAAGCAGAATAATATACTGAATTATTTTATGTAGCCTTTTCCTAAATAGGATTAGATACAATCTCTGTAGCGTTTTGATCTGAAATTTGATTGCAAAATGGACAACAGAAGTCTTGATAATGATGTAAGTGGTTGTGTAGTGTGAAGAATATGAGACAGATAGCATCAGTGCAAACTAAGATGTCTTGCCTCTCCTGCTGTGTTTTTTCCTTAGTAATTTAACCCCAGAGATGCTAACCTCTTACTGATACCCATCAGACATTTGTCTAAGAAGGCCATTTCTTTTTATACATCAGTAACAGTAACAGTTGTGCTGTTGCTTCTATTATGAAGATGTATTTTTGGTTACATAATTACAGAAATGAGAAATGCCTGTTAGACTGATGGATTTATCACATGAAATGTAAAATTGTCATGTGAATGACAATGTGACAGCCTTACCAGGTTTTTGGTGTCTCCTGCATTAATATAAAATAGATGACCCCTGAAAGACATCTCAGAATTACTTGCATGAAGAGAAAAGCATCCTCAGTTTTGAGTTTTGACTGTCTAATTAGTTGTACATAGCAGAGTCGTTTGCCAGTATGAGATCAGAAATTAGGTTAGAGAGTCTATTCTCCATCACACACAATTCCGTTTAATCCAAATTTAGGCACTTGGCAATTCATGGGGCTGCAGAGCAGCAAAGATCTATAGAACGTGCCTT